TTTCTACTTTTAGTCTTAGAATATTATTTTCTCCATCTGATCAACGGACCTCAGCCCAATTTAGTACACTTTTATAATTTTGTGTTTTTTAATCTGCAGAAACACTGAGATAAGATGGGCTCAAGAGCCTAAGTGGTATTCATCTAAAAACATCCCCGATCTCAGGATCTCAGTTGCACAGCTGGGTTCTGTTGGTCACATGTCAGCTTCTGAGCACATCTGTTCATTCCTCAAGGATACACTAGGCCCCATGAACACAATGTGCTCTGTGTAGAGTATTTTACACCAAAAAAACCCAGCAGCTGCAGGGGTGAGAAAATTTCTACTTCTCAAGTTTGTGTCTCTAGGCAGTTTGAGTAGGGTGTTTTCGATCTGGCTTTCTTTTGGTTGCCTGTCATTTCTGACATTCAGACGCCTGCTGGCAACAAGTTGCTTTTGCTATTCTCAGGACAGATCTTTCTAGCCTGGGAAGAGACAGACCAAACTTTTACTGAAAAGTAGGAATTCTTGCCACGTTCAGGCAGCAAACCTGAGAAAACATAAGAAAGATCCTGGCCACAGGTTCAAGAATGGAAAGGTAGGTTGCTGCCAGGAAAATGTCCAGATCTGAAGACTTTTAATTTTAGCATTTAGGGAAAATATTTATGTCGAATCTTCCCATTTCTGTTGGTTCATGATGACCAAAGAACACTTTCCTGGTAGGTCATGTGAAAAGGGTACAGATACATCCACCTCGCTTTGGAATGTGAACATGTTTGTACTGAATCTTTTTGAGAACTCTTAGGAGAGAGAATGAGACAGCGAGACAGTGAGACAGTGAGACAGTGAGAGCGAGAGTGAGCAAATGAGCGAGAGAGCAAGCAAGCAAGAGAGAAAGTGTGAGGGTAGAACCCATTCATGTACCTTTGAAACAGTATGCATTGGAAAGGTTTGTATGTTAATGAATTTGAGTTGGAATATCATGAGAGTAGTGCAAAAGAAACTGAAGATATATCAAAAGCGAAGGTATTAAACATGAATGGGTTTATGTCATAGACTTCATTAATTTGATTCATAGAAAATGATTGTTGTAGATAAAGAATATTATGAAATCTGCTTTTACAATCCTCAAAGGCCTCATTGCTAGTTTTTGGATGAAGGAGTAGTCTTGTGTCAACATCTTTTAAATGAGATGTGAGGGACAAACATAGCTTATAATATTGTAACTAGCTTTTCCCCCCTCCACAGGAATGTGTCTATATTTATATAGCATAACCTGTTAAATCTGTACCAATGGCTGCAAATACAGACCACAGAAGCTTCTTTAATAACACACATACACGAAGTCCAAAATGTTCTACTCTGTCATTCATGTGTAAATCAAGTATATTATTCATATACTTCATCGACTTCCTGAATGTGTGCTAAAAATGCCAAGGAAAAACTCATTAATCGTGACATGGTGACTGCTCAGCCAGCTCTGAAATGTTGATGGAAAAGAAAAATTGTCAAAGGGCCTTTTTAAGAACTTCTGCAGGTTATACTCACAAATCGAAATTCAGAGAACATGAATTTCCTCATTCAGGAAGGAAAAATTAAAGTCAAACACCCTCCAGTGGTTGTATCTAAAAACTGCATTGTTTTCTCAATGGCTTACTTATAAAAAGTCTTCCTATGCACCATTAAGCATCCAGGATCCAAGTCCCTGCTCAGTTTGATGGCTGTATAATCTCAAAAAATTAAAATGATTTCTATGGATTATAAAATTTCTGCCAATCCTGATGACATCTTTTTGGGTATTTTTATGTTAAGTTCTTTTAATGCCAAGGTATACTAAGTGACAATATAGTGTGTTATAGTCCTCAACTAAAACCTTGTAGTTTTGAGCTAGGAAATATGTCTTGTATAAGCTTCACACACCATGGTCAAGAAGGATGTTCAAACTTGTCTATATACACCAAAACAAATAATTTTAATCAATTTAGCCAAACAAATAGCTGACTCAATGATATGTAAAATATTCTACCACTTGTCTGGCTAAATTGACACAGCAGGTTGATTCAAACGACCTCTCAAGTCATTAAAATAGACTCTCTGGGAGCACTAAGACAGCACAAATTTGAGATGCATGTCTCTCGCCCTCATGTTATCCGTGACTCATTCTAACCCATGCGCAAATAACTGCTTCTTTGCACAATAAATATCATCTACAGAATCTGAGGTAAAGTGGGTCTCCTGTGTTCCATATTGCTCTATTTCCATTTCTAATGAGTACAATGGTGAATCACTGTTTTCCAGTTCAGAATAAAGATAGTGTTGAAATGTTCAGACAGAAAGACTGCCATTTTTAGTCACTTGGGGGGCTTGATAAATACTGGCTATTGTGGGGCTAGTGATTTCAAAATGCAAGAAGGTAGAATGAGCAGTACCACACTGATTTCTATTGAAGATGACTTGACATTGAATATAAATTCTACTTTGGTAATGATATTAGTTTAATACAATTTAGGCTATTATCACTCTAAAGTAGACTTCACAGAATTTCTATATTTAACAATTTGCTTTTGGCAAAAAATACAAAAAGTACATTAGAATCTAATGAATCAAGCCAAAAAATAGTAAAGAAGTATTTTAAAATTTTCATCAATGATTGATCAATCCCTTGTAGGTATTTTTCAAATATCTGAAAAAGTAAAAGCAATATACTCATTAGCTTGTTTTAAAGACTGACATTATTCCTATGAATTATTTACAATTTTTTTTCATTAAGCATAAAGTCCCTTATTTTTCACATTCACCTTACTAAAAAAAAATGTTCAAATATTGTCATGAAAAAATTTAACCACTTACTAATAGTTCATTGTCATTATCTCCTCTTGTCTTAAATCAACATTGTTCAAACAAAATCAACAAGCATTATAAAGTATCCAATGAGTTTAAGTATTCTACTAGATGATGACAGAGGTGTGAGAATAAATGAGATTGAGTCCCTGACCTCATGGAGGTTACAATCTTGCTGACTAGACAAGACATAAATATATGGAAAACTATATAAAATAATAACATAATACAAAACATCACGAGAGTACAAAATTTAGAGTCAAATTATTACACACCATGAACTCCAGGACTAGAGAAATTATTATGGCCTTTTCACAGAGACAGTTTATAAAGAAGGATAAAAAGAATTTGCAAAGGTATAAAAGACTAACATGAACAAAAGCATTGCAAGGACACGCAATGTACATAAAAGCCACAGTTTGCTTAGAGTGGAAAGTATGAGTAGGGGAAAAGGTAGGAAATAAATTTGGGTGATAAATCTGAGCTGGCATTAGACTGTAGAAATATTTAGCTAAGAGTTATGGATTCTATCCTATATGAAATGGTGAACAATTTAAAATTGTTGATTAGGGCAATGACATATTTAAGGAGGCATACATATTAATGGGACTAGATGGATGAGAGGAAAAATAGGTAAGGCAGAGAGTAATCCACATTGCAGGAATGTGGTAATTAGAATCTATACTAGAATAGCAAAAGTGAGAATGGAAAAGCTTCAATGGACACTGGATTTGGGAGAGCAATACAGATGAATAAAAAATGATTCTGAGGTATCAGCATGTTCCTTGAAGCTTGATCAATATAGAAGTGGTATGTCAAGTCATGAAAATGAAGAAAATTACAGATATAAAAGAATATAGAACCATGGGAGAAGATTGGGGAATTCTTACATTTGTGGTGCAGGAAATTAATGGACCAATAGATACTGTCTTCTTTATTTCTTTCTGGGCATGTGTAAATATGCATAATCACGTGCACACACAAACATACCTAGATACATATGCACGCTTAGAAAAGAGATGAACAATCAAAACTCAGTTGTTTGAATTTGTCTCTTGTCAGTTTAGTGACCATAATGGACAGCTGATAATTTGAAAAAATGTTATTGAGGAATAGCGTGATCTAATGAAGTGAGAACCAGAGTTGTAAACAGATCTAGGTTCTAATCTCAGCGCTATCACTTGCCAGCTGTCTGGTCTTGGACTTCTTTAAAGCCTTATTTCTTCATCTGTAAGAGGATAATAGTATCAATTCTCTCTCCACATAGGGTTATTGTAAAGATAACATGAAATGATGTATGTGAAAATATTTTATACACTGTGATGTATTGAAAATATAAGATTTTTTAATTTTGTTATTATTTCATTTTGTGTATAAGTGATCATATTCTGATTTGTGGTCACAGTTCAATCTCTCTCTCTCAAGGATATTAACATAAACTCACATGCAAGTTAATCTAGCACTTTTATTTTCTCTTCATGCCATTTTAAGCTCTTTGAGGGCAGGAACCATATCTTAGGGTTTTCTGTATTCCTGTTACACATTACCCTGTACAACACTTGAACATCAATAGGAACAAAGTATATACTTTTACTTGAATCCAAATTTATTCTAAAAGTTCAAATATAGCATTCAATATGTAGCATAATTTAAAAGCAGCATTCAAGCCCACAAAGTCCAGAACTTCTTAAAAATAATTTAAATACACAGTGAAAGTGCTGTTCCCAGTGGCCTCACATTCCTTTGTAGGTGAATTTTTCTATAAATCTGAAAACGAGTAACAAAGCATAAATTCAGAGTTATTAGGACAATGATTATAGGTATAAGTAGAAGCAAAATGATAGAAAAACCAGCTTTGGAACTGAAATGCTTTGAAAAGACTTTAAATGACTTATACAGATTACTTTTTAAGGATCATCATTTTCTCAGAATGCAAAGGCAATAGAATTTAAAAAACTATCATTAAAGCACAATTTTAAAACCATGCCTGTACTATAAGTAAGAGTACCTTTTTAAAAATGTGGATATATAAAATAGCCAGAACATAGGCATTGGAGAGAAATTTGAATTTAATAAAATCTGTAAGAAACATCTAAATACTTAGCTTTGATGCTTGAAGCCTCAATATAACTTCCTAAAAATAACCAAACTTTTTAAATTCAGAACTTGAAAGTACTTACTTCCACTTGGAATCAGGTCTCTTTCTGGGATGAAGAGTTTATATCCATAGTGTTTTTCCAGGACATCTGGCAGTATTTCAAGAGCAAACTGCTCTTCTTCAGGATCATCACAGTCTAAAGTATCTTGGTCCACTTTTGTATAAGAGAGATAGGCATCATATTCCTTGTTGTCTTAAATATTAAGAATAACAAAAGGGTTATACATATTATGCACTAAATATCTATAACCATTAACAAGCTTGAATAAGCATTCTAATTAGTGACTGCTGTTAATTGGAAAAAATAAATCATATGCCATGTTATAAGAAATCTAATACATCTCAACATAACCTAGTCATATGATATGACCCGAAACTTTTATGCAATGAGCGATATTCAGGAAAGAATAAAAGAGAGAATTATTATCTATGACTTTTGGTGACTATACATATTTGTGATATTCAGTGATGTGTGAATGATTAGCTCAGTGTGTTTGAATGCAAGACTAAATAGTCCAAAGTCATGGATTTGAACTTTTTCTGTGCCAGTTGGCTTGGCTCCGCTACTTGGTCACAGACTACACCTACTTTGCACAAATGTGTAGAAGAGATCCAAGAGGGGCTGAGCCCTACAGTGTGGCAGATCTAAATAATCCAGCCTCACTCCTGGAGACACTACTCACAGTACCTGCCATACTTCCAGTTGGTTAGTGTCATCATGTTCATATACAAAATCAGTTCATTACCAAATATTAAAGACAGCAGCTGAGTCTTATACAAGTACATTCCTTGTTATTCTTGTTCAATTCATAGCCAACTAATTTGACACGAGCTTCCAAAAGGAGACTTTGTTTCAAAATGTACATGTTTCCAGTATTGGCAAACTAGGTTTCCCTTCACACACATTTAGTCAGAGAGTTAACTGTGCTTTGAGAATGTATTTTTTCCTTCTTTGCTGTATTGGCCCAGAGCCAACCTCTCTTTCTCTTTATATATATACACACACAATTTTTTTCTTGAAAAATACTAATGAATACAGTTACTCAAAGTATTAGTCCTCATTAGTTTTATAAGGGCCACACTGGAAAAGTTATAGTGGTTTTCAAAATTCCCTTACTTACAGAAAATTATTTTTTAAAGTTAATGTAATTAGCATAGACTCATAGAACTTTTAGTGTTTTTGAATCTAGATACTTGCAAATAATAATTTTAAAAGACAGGGAAACATTTCAGGATTTGTTTCTAAAATACATAAATTATTTTCCATTAAAACAGACCTAATTAGAATATAGTTAAAACCTGACCAAAATGTAATTTACGGAATGAAGCAGACACTTATTTACCCATACCATTAATGATTTGGTTCTACCTGCTGAAGGAGGAACAAATAAGTCTATAAAGAGACAAAAATACTCTATGGTAGGAGTAAGTGGGACCCTCTGACTATCTAGAGATATCTGAGGCAGGATTATGTTTTTTTCTAATTCTAGTAAGATTGAAGACTTCACTACCCTCACATAAAAGGAATTCTGGTTATTTATGTTAAGATGGTGCCTGAAGCCAGGAGCTTCACGTTAGTATGCCCTCTGGCTGGGACTTCCATAAACCTCGGTTGGGTTACTTGATTGCCTAGACGCAGATGTACATGAAGGACTGCCTTGAATAGTTGAGATCATTTGGTTTACAAATGTGGCTCATTCTGCTGTTATGCATAAAACACCACTTGGAAGCGAGAATGTTCATATGAAATGCTAATGTAAGAACATCCTGGTAATCCTAGCATCTCTGCCCCTGTTCATATCAAGCTCAGGATGCACCTGCAGGCCCTTGACTTTCTCTAGCTATTATTAATCACCTGGGACTTAGGGCTGCAATGATACACAGCTAGAAGAATAAAATAGGCCAAAGGACAAACAGCTCTATTTCTATGAACAGAGTGTATTTCATTGTTCCTGGTGGATGAAATTGCTGCCTCAAACTCTGTAGTGTCAGACTTGACCCTTTTTGTCCCTCTGACTTTGAAAACTTTCCTATCTCACAAACCTCCCTAAATTAAACTACTTATTAATTCATTCAATCATGATTTTTGAACATCTACTATGAGCCAGCCATCTTCAAGGACTACCTGACTCTTTAATCTGACCAGGCCTTCTAGATTCTTGCCCCAATGCTTGTCCCGACTATAACTATTGGCCCTCCAACCTTGTTTAAACTCATATAATCCTGGTCCTATCCTTACTTGCTTTGCCTATATTTTAACACAGGTGATGCTACAAAGACTCTTTTAGAAGAAAATAATGTTACATTTGCATATCTCAAATCAAGTTATGACAAAGAACGTTGATGTCTTTGATACGTGTTAACACCCAATATGTCTAGATAATAAAATTTACCAAACATTCTGAAAGCACATCTTTCTTTGGAAAATGTTTGCTTCTGGCTTTAGTCATGCCCCTTTAAGATAAACTAAAGGTGAAGAGCTTATGGTGGCTGACCAAATCCGGAAGAGAGCTCTAAAAGCTACCATGTCAGATGTCCCAGAAGCTCTAGGATGCCAGCAAGTGAGCAAGCAGTGACGCAGATGCCAGTTTAAAAAATGTACTTCACCCTTATGTAGATAGCCAAGAAAACCTCATGAATGGCCACAGCTGTTGCTCACAAAGAGCAAGATGGATAGAGCAAAATCAACAACATGATGAAAATAAGGTTAACAGCAAGGCCTGAAAATTGTTTTAAAATTGAATAGCAATTCAGCAACACCACTTTGCTAGGCAAAGCTAATGAGCCTTCCTCTGTGTTAAATCATGCAAAGTTCATCTGAGGAACCAGAAAATAGAGCATAATGCAGACAGAGCATTATGAATAAGAGAGCTCAAGCAGTGGTCACCATAGGTTTGGTGTTTCTGATGAAAAGAAAAGTTATGAGGAAAGAAACCAAACTGTCTGTGGAAGAATTTTCCTGTTGTCATACCTGTACTTCCTTGTTTTAAAATCTCATTTTAATCCTGTTCATCAGGAAGCCATTCCTGTGTACAACCCAATTCTACTGCTGTTATGCTAAACACAGTGCTAAATCCTTAGCTTCCAAAGTACAAAGAGTGGGCAATTTTGTTGATATATTATGTACTTAGTACCTACTTTAGTACCTGCATGTGTGTGTGTGTGTGTGTGTGTGCGTGTGTGTGTAATGCTGATCCAGATGAAGAATATAAATAAATACATCATTCATAATGCCTGCCACATAGTAGACACTTAATAAATATTTAATGACTGAATAATTAAAAGGTCAAATAAATAGAGCAATTGTTGTTTGATAGATTAAAATGAAATGGATTATATTTTAAAATGGCTAAAAAGTCAGTTTGTTGGATAGGTTTGATTTTATAAAAACTAAGAAACTTTTATTTCAAGCAAAATTAAGCATTTTTTCATATTTTTATTTTCTCTTTTTTATGACATGACATATCTGTACACGTCTTTTTGTCCATTTATAGATTGGAGTCTTAGTGTTTTTTAGATTGGTTCATCTATTTCTTTATATAGAAATACAAATAAAAATAACAAAAGTAAAAATAAAGGAGGCCTTTTTTTATGAACTTTCAGTAAATGCTACTATAGATATAAATCAAATAGAGAACATGAATAAAATGTATATGGGTAAAGCTAAGTTTTGTTTATGAGATGCCAAAATATTTAAATAAATAAATGAAAAATTCTGTAGGTTATCAAATTGATTTTTGGCATCATGAAACCAAATATTTCTAAAAGGGTTTTAATATTCATTTATTCATCCCCACTATATATCTGCTGAATTTTTAGTATTCTATTCAGCTAGCACAGAGATTGTGTATTTAAAATGCAAAGTTCCATGTAGGAATGTAAAATATTTTAACTTTTCTTCCTAATGAATACCTTTGAAGTCCTTCCCCCAAACTACATTGTATTTTTTCCCTTAAAACAATTGGTTTGGAATCAATACATACAATTCTGTAATCAAAATGTTCTACCTTACTTTTGATCTTTGACCACAGAGATCACAAAGGAGATAAAGGTGCAAAATGGAATAGTTGATCATTAAAATATTAGCATGACTTTAGTCTTACAAACATGTACTACAACTGATCAGTTAGTCTGAATTATTGGGTATGAGTAATTAAAGTAATAATTATTGTAGATTAACTTAATAAGTTGTGTCATCTCTTACAGAGAGTATTAACAAATCACTTATAACCATGACTCAAAACAAATGAATCACAGGAGCCTCCTTTTCATGTTCTTTCATATAGACAATGCATCTTTTACATTCCCAATAGGATACTTTAGCCACTTTTCGGCATTGGGAACCAGTGACATTTTCTTCAGTAGCATATTTTATCTAGTTGTTTTATGTGCACAGGTAAGAAGTCAGGATTTTCCAATATTAATTGATGAATATAAAAACTGAGGGTAATTGACCAAATTTATATATATATATATGTTGGAGCATATAATTATGGTCAGAACAGGCCCTAATTTCTCATTCTGAAGATATGTGTGAACAAGGGCATATAATACTTTTAAATGGGCTGCTATAATAGTTGGGTAAATACACTGCTTTGATAATGAGCATGCACATGTACTCATCAAACAGCATTTCTCTAATTTACTGTGAAAACATGAAAGTCAATTAAAAACTATTCATACCATTGTTTACATAACAGAAACGATAACACTATAATTAAAAATTTCTCAAAAATTTTGATGTTACAGTCACTACTCTGCCCTTCTTCTATCACTATAAAAATAAAACAAAATAATAACCCTATCTATTTGGAGGTAAGACCATAATCTCGAAAAACAAAACAAAACAAAAACAAATGAAAATTCTACAATTTCAATACAATAAAAACTAAGAATTAAATCTGCATTTTTAAAGTAATGACTTACAGTTGGACTTCTTTTTTTATCTTGGCTTACCTAAGGCATTCCACATACATGTTTACAGTAGTTTGTGGTGAGGATTTTATGCAAAGGAGTGACATGTCATGATTTCTTGTTGGTATTGATTGGAAATATGGATTTGTTCTTTTGAAAAAATTAAATAATTTTTGAATGTTCAAAGAAACAAGGCTCAACACAATGCTTTCTTGATATTTCATTTATAAGATTTCCAAAGGCCATAAATGGCAAACAGAAAAAAAATAAGTCACATTCTGAATTTCTATCCCTTGAGGTCACCTTTGAGAATGGTGTTACAATCATTCAAAATATGTAGGACAAATATACTATGAGATTTAAAAAGAGTGTCTCCATAAATTTTAATCATTTTCTTGGTGATATGCTTGTCATTTCAATGTCAAAAATGGGTAAAAATGTTCTATACCCAAATTTGAATTTTGTAGAGAAAAAATAGAATTGATTCTTAATTTGTTTCTAAGTAACGCCCATATATCCTTTACCTAGATTAATTTGTCGTTAAAATATCTTCTCTCCGTTGCTTCTTTCTTGATAGACAAGTAAAATTTTTCTGAAATATTTGAGGGTAAGTTGCATTAGTCATAGCCCTTTAAGTCTAAATGTCTTACCACGTATCCCCTAAGCACAGGATATTCTCCTACATAATCACAAATTCATGAATTGAGTTTGAACAACTACTTACCATCAGTAGTTTCATCAACTCCAAAGTGCTGTCGGTAGAAGAGCATCAATTCAATGTTGTAGTATTTGTAGATGACCATGAGCAGTACAAGGAGGAGGAATATTGCTCCCAGGCCTCCTGCAAGTTCGATTTTATAGATTAAATCTAGAATTAAAACAAAACAAAACAAAACAAAACAAAACCAGAATAAACAGGAAAATGTAAATAAGCAACTCTCAGAATGTGTCAATTCTAGTCTGTAAGATTTACAATCCATTCTGTTTTTTTTTTCCCCAGAAGATTCTTGCTTAATGCAGTGAGTAGCTTTGTTCTTGATACGTTGCATAAATCAAATGTTTGTATAATTCACTCCTTTCTAAAGATCTGAGTAATTTTACTATTGAAAATGGTGTCTATATGAAAAAGAATAGTTTTGTTTTGAACACACCTAGATCTCACATATATACTTCTGATTTAAGTGTATTTCAGTGAACTATTTGAGCTGCCTTTTTCTGGGTTCAGGGCCAATATTTAGTTGTTTCTGTTGAATTATCTTATTGGCTTAGCAAGATTACCATCTAGTACTTTTCAGGCCACAAGATAACATTTTCAACTATTTTACTATCTATTCTCTAAGTAGTCCTTTAGTGCAAAAATTGTTGGTCCAGATTTATAGATCAAGAATCTGAGACTCAGTAGTTTAATTCAATTACTCAAAGTCATGCACTTAATAAGTGGCCGAGATAGGACTTGAGCCCAGATAGTGTAACTCTTTTTAAAATTTTTATTTTATTTTTATTTTTAATATATTAAAAAATTCAATTATAGTTGACCTGCAATATTTTATTAGTTTCAAGTGTACAGCATAGTGATTAGACATTTATATATCTTACGAAGCGACCACTCCAATAAATATAGTACCCATCTGACAACATACAGTTATTAAAATATTATTGCTAATATTCCCTATGCTACACGTTACATGCCTATGACTATTTTGTAACTATCAACTTGTACTTCTTAATCCCTTCATCTTTTCACCCATGCTCCCAACTCTCTTCCCATGTGGCACCATTAAAATATTCTCTGTATCTATGAATTTGTTCCAATTTTGTTTGTTTGTTTATTTTGTGCTTCACATTCCACATGTAAGTGAAATCACATGGCATCTGTCTTTCTCTGTTTGACTTACTCCATTCAGCACAATACTCTCTAGGTCTGTCCATGTTGTTGCAGATGACAAGTGTCATTTTTTTTTAATGGCTGAGATATATCCCATTGTATTTATGTACCACTTCTTGTTTATCCATTTATCTATTGATGGACATCCAAGTTTCCTTCAAATCTTGGCTATTGTAAATAATACTGCAATGAACACATGGAATCACACTTCCTTTCGAAGAAGTGTTTTGGGTTTCTTCAGATAAATAATCAGAGATGGGATAACTGGGTCCTTCTTTGTCTATTGTTGTGCCTTTGTTTTAAAGTCTATTTTGTCTGTTATAGGTATTGCAAACCCAGTTTTCTTTTTTTGTTTCCATTTTCATGAAACATCTTTTTCCATCCCTTTACTTTCAGCCTGTGTGAGTCTTTTAATCTTGTAGGCAGCATATATAAGGATGTTGTGTTCTTATCCATTCAGTCGCTCTATCTTTTGATTGGAATATTAATCCATTTACATTTAAAGTAATTATTGATAGATATGAAGTTATTGGCAATTCGTTAATAATATTTTCTTTTAAAGCCTACAGCACCTGGTATTGCTAGGTGGTCTCCTATTCATAGTAATATTTTTTTGTCTTTTTTCTTCTCCTCCTCCTCCTTTATCTTCTAGAAATCCCTTTAATATTTCCTGTAATACTCGTTTAGTGGTGATGAACTCCTTGAGCATTTCCTTGTTTGCGAAGCTCTTTATATGTCTACCAATTCTAAATGATAGCTTTGCAGGACAGAATAATCTTGGTTGTAGGTCCTTGCTTTTCATCACTTTGACTATTCTGTGCCAATCCTTTCTGGCCTGCAGTTTCTGTTGAGAAATTAGCTGACAGTCTTATGGGAGTTCCCTTGTAGGTAACTAACTGCTTTTCTTTTGGTGCTTTTAAGATACTCTCTTTGTCTTTAATTTTTGGCATTTTAATGAAGATGTGTCTTCGTATGGGCCTCTTTGGGTTCACCTTGTTTGGGATTCCCTGAGCTTGCTGGGCCTTGTATGTCCATTTTCTTTACCAGAGTAAGGGAATTTTCTGTCATTTTTTATTCAAATAGGTTTCAATTCCTTGTTCTCTCTCTTCTTCTTCTTTTGATGTGGATGTTGGTATGATTGGTGTTTTCCGAGAGGCCCCTTAAAATGTCATCATTTTTCAGACTCTTTTTTCTTTTTGCTGTTCTGATTGGATGTTTCCTGCCACCTTCTCTTCCAAATCACTGTTTTGAGTTTCTGCTTCATCGAATCTACTGTTGATTTCCTCTAAGGTATTCTCTATTTTAGTTATTGTATTCTTCATTTCTGACTGGTTTTTCTTTATGCTTTATATATCCATTTTTATGTTTCCCATTTTTTTGTTGAAGTTCTCACTGAGATCATTGAGCAGCCTTATAACAAGTGTTTTGAATTCTGCATCTGGTAGATATCTTGTCTCCATTTTTTTGAGTTCTTTTTCTGGAGTTTTGTTCTGTTCTTTCATTTGGGACATGTTTCTTTGTCTCTTCATTTTGGCTCCTTCCCTGTGTTTGTTTCTATGTATTAAGTAGGGATCCTATGTCTCCTGGTGTTAGTGAAGTGGCCTTATGTAATAGGTTTCTGTGGCAATCTTCCCTGGTCACTTGAGCCAGGTGCTCCAAGTGTGTCCCTTATATGGGTCGTGCATGCCCTTCTGTTGTACCCTTAGTTGCTGTTTGCACATCAGTGGAGGGGTTTGACCCTAGGGCTGATTTGCTGTGAGCAATGGCCATAGAGGGGCTTACCATACGAAGCAGGATTGACTTTAGCAGGGCTCTGGTGTCAGCCCAGTCTGCCCTTTGAGTGTGTCATTTGTAGAGTTTTTTGGGTGGTGCTCTGGTGTGGTCTGAAACAAGTCACAAGATGTCTTGGTTTTTGGGCTCTTGGGAGGGGATCTTGTGCAGGCTAAGTTTAGCTGCTGCTTGTCTCCTGCCTTGGGCCACCTAGCATGAGCCACCAAGCAATCTTTAGATAAACACCACCCGTGCTGGGCTGAAAGGGCTTCAAGAGGCCCAGCCATGAATCTAGGCCAGCAGCTGCTAGTTTCAGGCTTGGGGCTGCTCAGAAAGAGGTACAGGGTATGCTGACGCCAGATGTTGCCTGTTTGAGTTTTACAATCCTTTGAGAGATTTTATGAAAGTTCACAGCATGAGCCAAAACAGCCATTTGTATGGAAAAGCCACTGGAATTGGCTTGGGTGGCCCCACAATTTGGGTGGGGCAGGGTCTCAGGAAATCACCAGGGAAGGGCATCCAGTGTTAGCCAGATTGATGGAGACTCAGATATGGTGCCCATCTGTGTCTGCATGCCTGGAACAAGGTGGGCTCCACAAAGAAACATTAGATTCTGTGAGCACTTCTGTCTGTGAGAAAGCTGCCCCTCTAGTCCTTGCTCTGAAACCAGACAATTCTGTTCTAACCATATGATACTGGTGCCTTTCAAGCTGCTGCCCCAGCTCTGGAGCTCAGAATGAATGAGTCCGTCAGCGAGTAAGTCCACGCACAAGCCCCTTAAGTGGAATATCTGCAATTCCAGCCACCTTCAGTCTTACTCAACCACAATATCCACTGGCTTTTATAGCCAGAAGTTGTTGGAATTTCTCTTCTCAGCACTGGAACCCTGGGCTGGAGAGCCCGGTGTGGGGTTGGGACTCCTTGCTCCTCCAGGGGCCCTCTGCAGCTAAGATATCCGACCCGATTCTCAACCGTCACACGTGGGATCAGACCATCACACGTGGGATCAGACCATTTCATGTCCCTACCCCTCATATCAGTCCCAAGGTGGCCTCTTCTGTATGTCCCCGTTTGTAGGACTTCTATTCAGCTAGACTTCAGGTGACTCTCAATGATGATTGTTCTGTAGTTTAGTTGTAATTTTTATGTGGTTGTTAGAGAAGGCAAGCAGTATTTACCTACTCTGCCATATTGACCAGAAGCCCCAAGACTGTATTTTATCACACCACAGTTTATCACAAAGCCCCAGCCTGAAAAATGACAATGGAAAACCTTCTCCCCTGTTCCTCCATAGAACTATTGGTAATGTCTCTCAAGAACACATGGATTGCAGTGAACTTTGGCTCCTCAGCCCTTCCAATTTCAAGGAAAGAAGCTAAACTACAATTCACCAGGTAGAATGAAAGGACTGAGGAGATCTCATATGCTTCATTAGAGGGTACTGAAGATCCTGCAGCTGTACCAGGGAGGAAGGAGGGGCTTCCTAAAGTCTGGAATATGAAGTAAAGTTTAGGTTTCATGGAGAGAAAAGCAATTTGGTCTTGGAAAGGAAGTGGAGTGATAGAGGAGATGGTGGTGGCTAGAGACAGCATGGCCAGTCAAGAGAGTCACTAAGTGAAAATGTAAGAATCATAAATACACATCACTCTTTCTGAGTAAGGAGAGAGGGGTAAGGGTGCAAAAAGGAAGTGAGTGGAACTGTTATGAAGGGCAAAATATGTTAATAAGGAGCATTATGAAGGAACACATAATGAGTAGGGATTGAAATCTATCTCTGTCTTGCCTACTGCAAGAGGTGATCATTTTGAAAATTAAGCCACAAAATTTCAGGTAAAAAAAAAACTCACTACACATTAGTTTTGCCCTACTCTCTATATAGAAAGTGGATCCCCAGGAAATGCTGCCTGTCTCTATAAGGGTGGTAAGGCAGGCTTGCTTATGAAAACTCTGTGGGGCTACAATATCACAATCTTTGTTTATTTTCTCACCATCTCATATCAGTTATGCATTCTTAACAACTAGTGTTAAATTGACAGAGTAATATGATTTTTTTTGTACTCTAAAAACTGATTTCTCTTTGATCTTAGGGCATTGATTAACTTGATTCATGTTTTCCTGCTATAAAATGTATATTTTATGTTGTAAATTTTTTGGACATTCTCTGTGTGTCTCTATGTCTCTGTCTCTCTCTGTGTCTCTCTCTGGTCAGAACA